ACTCCTAAGGTCCTTCAAAATGTACATGGTGAGTTATGGAATCCATGGCTATTATTAACAATCATCCAAAATTCATTTGACAGAAAGTTCATTTATTAGTTTGGTCACGAGTGGTTATGTTTACTTCTAGTTCTTCCAGGTACAAAGTTCCTAAAATTTTCAAGTGACCACTCTTAAGTATAGTCTTCAGATATAAGTCATAGGTTTATCACATCATCAATCTTCCAGGTATAGTGGTTATGATTCATCATGCTTTGGCTGCGCTACTCTGATACTTATATACTTAGGAGATTTATAATGGTTTGTTGTGAGAACATGCCGTAAGGTCTTTTTTTCACCTATAGAAATTTATTTAGGAGTAATGAGATTTTTTTTAAGATGATGGATTCGATAAAACTTGATGTTACTCATGTTATTTCTTGTTATCATTTTTCACATACTTGGACTTTCTTACGCACTTTGGTATTATACAAACATACTTAAGTGTCATTCATAAATATACATACTCCTAATGATACACATTATGCATTTGCACACACAAATGCATATACCCTCAGTTTATACATACACCATCCCATAAACCTACATCATATTAAATATATACGACATATATGAACCTATATCGCACATGTATATACTTATCGACATATAGTCATATATACATGTACATACTACATGTATACACAATAGATATATATATGTATATATATTATTCACGCACCTAATTTACACACACTCAAATGCACACACAACTCACACCAAACCATTCACACACATAATCATATATACGCACACATAACCACATCTACACAGCCTTAATTTTATATACATATACATGCAGTTATACACACAAATCCTTAAGTATATGCATTTGTACATACAAACATGCATACTTTCTTATGGGATATAGCTCAACTAACATTTATATAAATTTTATATATTTAAGTAATAAAAAACAAGGTTAAATAAGCGCAGAAAACACATGCAAGGAAATCTAAGAATGTCATGAATTTTTTTTTAATAAATTTCTCAAAGAACTTATAGAAAAATAAAGCTTAGAGAAGACAAATTCAATCTCAGTATGAACAATAATCCAATTCTTATTATTTTCTTTGTTTTCTATTATTTAAACCTAATTCCTTCAGTAGCATTTCAAATTTTTTCAATGTCTCTTATGTTTATTCATATATATATATATATATACCGACTCACGTACAGATATACTTACACATATTATGCCCAATACACACAATATATATATATGCGATATATAATGCACTCAATATACCTATATTCTTACAAAAACACACTTTATATGCATATCAGTATACCTAAGTCTAGATTTATATTTACATATCAAGACTCATACAGACCCCATACATATGGAATTATAAAATTTTTCATATAAGTTTTTCATATATACATATATGATCCACAATAGACATACCTACCCACACACCTACCTATGTATATATATATATATCTCTATATATATATTTATTTATTTTTAGGCAAATGTACATATTCATAGTTACAGCTTCATGTATCCATTACAAGGAAACTAAACAAAGCATGTGGAATTTTGGGAAAATGGAGAATTAAAATGGGTAACTGGGATTTCTTATCGGATTGAATCCGTGTGTAAACCTCTTAATATCATAAATTGTTTTGTTAGAATTATTAATGAATTTCATTAAGTAAATTCAAGAAATAAGTGGCACTCTACATTCTTACTTTGTTCTTTTACTTTTATTGGATCAACTTCTCTGTAGAAGTTCAAACTTTCTATAGTTTTATTCATTCACTATCTCCAATTGGCTTCGAAGTGAAGCCTTAATTATTTGATTTCTAGATTTATCACATTCCAACCCCTTATAACTTCTACTTTTTAGACTTTGGAACTATAATCCTACTTCTTTATCTCTACAAATGCTTTGGATGAAGTTCTAAAACATCTCCTAAGGTGTGTATTACCTAAATTCTTTTGACTCTAAACCTCATAAAAATCCTAAGCCTCATGACGAAAGGGATGGTTCCGAGGAATGTGCACTCTAATACCAATTGTAACGAACCACTTTCTCTGTTGAGAAAGGAGCACTATTCTATGCAAATAACCTGGTAATTTTACGCAGCAATAAGCAAAAACTTAAGATTAATCATCCCCTATAGGGAATTAAAAATCATGAGGCTTACAAAATTCTTTACATTCCATCGCTGTAATATAATTAAACTGACATTACAAGGCAAACTCTCAAGATCACTAAAGGTTCTTTAAAGTCTTTCTTCATCCTTGAACTTGCTCTTGATCTGGACAATTCTACACTAGGGAGTGTGAATTAGGGTGAGCTTCCCGGACTCAGTAAGAAAAACGAGCAGTGCTTAAAACAAAGACATGCACACACTCAATCATACAAGATTCACATAACAAATGCATATCTTCTTTAAAACCAATTCCTAATCAATACAATAACCATAATTTCATACATCTCAGTAATTCACTCTTTCACACATGATTTCATAGACATCACAAATACTCTAACATCACATTTACATAAACAAATAATATTATTCACTAGTTTCATAATACTTGCACTTATACTTTCGGATAATCACTTGCACTTGTCACTGCATTACTTATTATTGCTTATGTCAATATTGTCTTCACATTACATTATTCCCTTATCACTTTTTAGTTGCACTTTCATTTTCAGTTACATTTTTATTAAGGTTTATAATTTCTATATTTTTGTCTTTTAAGAGTTTCATCATGCGATACTATTTCTGCCGACATCAACGAGGGCACTAAGGATCCCCTATACCACGTAGATAGATCACATGTCAATTTTTAATTTTCACTTTCTTAATGCACCCGAACACGGAAAGGTTATGCATTGGGTATCAATAATCACTTTTTACATACACCCGAAGACGGAACGGTTATAAATGAGATTTCCCAATCACGTATGGCTGAGGCCATATCCACAAGTAGGGTTCACCATACTTCACTTCTCAAAATGGCTACACACACCCTGCCATTATTGATACTGGTTAAACAGATTTCTTTGTTGTTTAAATATCGTTATGTTATTATTTGAGTAATTAAATTCATCACTAGATAACCTACTCATGCATGCACTTATATATACATCATATGTATTATACATAAACATGCCTACACAATAACCATAATACATACATCTTATATGCATGGTCATCGACTTAAATAAATATATATACACACAACACATACAACATACGCCTATGCAATTTTTTCTTCATTTCTCTTATTTCTTCTGCTTTATAAGAACTCATTTGTGTTAAAAAGTCCACTATGAGTGGCTGATTTATTTTTCTTTTCTTAGTTGATAGATCTAACAAACTCCAGCAATGTATTTGGAAGATCTACTCGAATTAATTTGAGTTTTATCTCAGAGCTAGTATTTATTTACTCTTTGCACCTATATATATTTGTTGTTTTAGATCTATTTGAAGAGGACCCATCATACGAGAAGAGAAACAGCAAGCAACTAGTCTAACCCCTCAAATTTATAATTGTTTGAGTGGTTCCAGCACCAAGTAGTGATTAGTGCCACACTGAGGAGGTAAGTAGTCTAGTTTACCAGTTCACGCGGATGAATCTAGTAACTTGAATCAGGTCCTTCTAATTCTCAAGCCAGTGACAAGTTAAATCCTGTGGATGTTCCCAAGACTGCTTGGTAGTGAAGAACCAACTAACAAATGTTTCTATAACACTGCATTTAAATTTGAAGTGTTAATTTACAGATTTAAATTCAATTAATTAGTTTTTATATAAATTAAATCATGTGTAAAAAAAATAAAAATAAAATTTACCCCTAAATATGCTAAAAATAAAATTAGGGACTAAATCAAACAAAATTAAATTTATTTGGGGCTCTTTATAAATTTAAAAATCAATTTAGAGGCCAAAATATAAAGAAAACTTGAAATCTGGGCCATTTTATAATTTTTAGAAAATGGGCCACCTAGGCTGGTTACATGGCAGCCGCCTAATCAAAGAAAGTTATGGCGTTTGACCCACACATGTGGTCATCCAGACAGACACCCATGGTAAGTAGATTGGACAGTCCTGGGTGTTTTGGGTAAATCCAACTGTGAGATCGACGGTAATCGAATCAAACAGTGTGCAGACATGCAGAGGAAATAATTTTGATATAATGATCCACGTGCGGGATGTCGATAAGGCAGTATACATGTGTTTTGAGATGATCCAATAGTCATACGATTGAATGGTTTAGATGTAAAGGAGAATCACGATCTAACGGGTGAGGGAAAAGAATGGCAAAATTATAATTTTCCCATTAATGAAGGCCCATCCAATGGACCACATGGGGCCACGTATGTGAGGCTTGTGTAGTCCAGATTTGTTGAGTGGTGGGTTTAAAAACCCATCTATGCCACTCAACCTAGCGTAATCTGGAAGGAAAGAAAAAAAATACAAGAACAAAAGAAGAAAAAAGGAAAAAGAAGAGAAAGAAGGCCAATGTCTGCCATTCCCAGCAGAGGGAAGGAGGAAAAGGGGAGAAAGAGAGGTAGAGATTGTCGATGAAGGGCCTACCACTAAGGGAAGGGCATTTCGTGGCCAATCAATGCCGAAAATCATGAAAATCCATCAAGATTTTTGGCGACCTGTGATCCCAACATGTGATCAAACAAGCATTGTGACATCACAAATGTTAATTAAGGCATAAGGGTGGTAGATACAGAAACAAATTACAAGTGCATAATAAATAAATATATGCAATGGAACAAATAATCACAAATCCCTTACAAAATATATCAGTGCCCAATTACATATATATATATATTTGAGGATAAAAGTGGCGACAAAATACAAAAGAAGATCATTTCTATCATTATGTAAATAGACTCATCATACTGCAGGACAAGTCATGCACTCATAAAATTTTATGGATCTATAGGATCCTTAGAGACTTCAAGGGGTAGGTCAGCGATTAGTTCCTCACTATCTTCCTCATTTGGAGGGGAGCATAGAAAGGAATAAGTTCTATATACTCAATAAGAAAAATAATATTTAAATAG